TGCCATATGCCCCAGGAGCCTCTGAAATAGTTTCAGTGGGACCGCTGTCCTGCCCTTGAACGAATTCAAGCAGTTCAGCACCGACCGCGCATGTTCCTCTGTGAGGCGTGCTGTCTGTTCGACCGAATCCAACTCCATATCGAGAAAAGAGATCCTCTGCGTCGGGGAGAGTTTGCGCTTTTCCCAGTTGACCCGAAGACCCAACTGGCTGAGGTGCCGGAGCACCAGGTCCTTGTGCTGATCCCGAGGATCCCGAGACTGTGCTAGTATAAACCAATCGTTGAGATTGGATGCGAACTCCCTGCTCTACAAGAGCCCCAAGAGCCCCCTCCGCGACTTTTGTGAAGACACGGGGAGACAGGGACAGCCCGAAGGACAGGACCTTGTACTGGAATGCACGTCCCTCGAACGCAAACCGCAGAAATGGTCTGTGGCGCGGAAGGATCGACACATGAAAATACGCGTCCTTCAGGGTAAAACCCTGTATTCATATCGGCTGGAGGGACCGGCTCTATCGCATCCTTCGCCAGTAGGACTGCGATCTCCACACAAAAGACAGGAGCATCGGCCGCCTTCACTGTCGTGAAGTGGATGCCACTGAACTTGGGGGGACGCAGGGAGAACTGAATCGCATAGTCGAGGCTGATGGTCTGCAGAAGCCAGCGAGATGGGCTGGGTAGTGTTAGCCAGGCACCCAGATACCGTGCAAGCGGGACCAACGGAACCACCGCCATACCCGCAGTGGGGCAGCGAGGTGGAACGCAGGGACCCAACTCGGGCAGCTTGTGAGGGTGCAACGCTTACCTGGTTCCACAGTTTGGCAGAGGGCCTTTGTTGACGCTCTCGAACTGCCCGATGCTGCCTGCTGGCGATGGAGGAGGATGAGTGTGGTCCGGTGTTGATCCATCCGCGACTCTCTGTGCCCTCCTGGGACAGAGAAAACTGCTCTCGCGTCGAGATTTTCCAGATTCTCCAGCTGGCCCTCCTCCGGGGGAGGGAGAGGTGCATTCACCATCCCCCAAAGAGCAGCTTCCTCCCTCCCTGGGTCGCTCGTCCCGGGGCCTCTTGCTCTTCTGCTCACCGCCAGGTTTGACAGGGGCCTGGATGGGCGGGGCAGCCTGCCTACGCAAAGCTCCACGGCGCCGCTTGCTCGAGGCTGCTGCGGATTTGGCACGGGGACGGATGCAGGGGGGCTGCCCTTGGCGACGAGCAGGCTGGGACGCTGCGGCCGGCGGATGGGTGGAGGCAGCAGCTGCCCTCCAGGGCAGGATGTGAATCGCCTCAGTCTGCTTCTGTGCAGCCGAGAACTGCTGGGCAGAGCTCTCGACCGCGTCTCTGAAGAGGCCGGTTCTGGGACACAGGGGCATTGAGGAACTGAACTTTGTCGGCGTCCCTCATGTCGATCAGACACAGCCAGAGATGGCGCTCCTGGACCACAAGTGTGGACATCGCACGACCCAGAGTACTCACGGTGACCTTTGTCGCTCGGAGCGCGAGGTTAGTAGCGGTTCGGAGCTCTTTCAGAACTTCCGGATCATGACCACCCTCTTGCAGGTCCATCAGTGCCTTGGCCTGATGAACCTGAAGGCGGCAGCGCAGCCAAATCTTCCTCTCCAGAGAGCTCTCCCTCCGATGCAGTGATCGACATCCAGTCGTCGGGAAGAGCACCGAAGGATACCGCTGGTACGCTCTTAGAAGAGGGCCCAGCGTGTTCCTTTGGCGGCTCAACTGGTTGCCTCAACATGACTCCACAAACTGGTTAGTGCAGCCTGAAGTGCGCAACCCACTCGACACAGGAACGACCACTGCTGAAGCGCCGTCCGCCAACACAAAAAGCTCCCTAGAGCGTGCTAGACTCATCACATACAAAGCAATTTGGTAGGAGCAGAACGATGTTGTCGCTAGGCTCCCAAGCGAAAAACTGGTATGCGTTGCACCGGCTGCCTTTTTATGCTCACGCTGTG